GGGGGGGGGGGGGGGGGGGGGGGGGGAGATTTACTGCTGGAAGAGAATTTTTTTCTTGATATGGGATCGTTATGTGCAAGATTTTTCCCCTTATTCCATCACCATGTACGATATTTTTTTGCCACTCTCTCTTTCGCAGCATTTTCTTCAATAGCTTATATTATTTAGATTCTTTAATTAATAATAGTTAACGTTGAGTTTTCTAGCTTCATGCATTGCTATTAATAATACCTATTGCTATGAGATATAAGATTTGGTTCAGGGCCTCTTTACGGATGTGTAATTGGAGGGGACATATTTAGCGGGGGACCTGGAGAAGTTCCAGTCGGCAAGTCTGTTTCACTGCAGCTACCAGCATATATATGCATGGTTTAACTAATAAGTACATGCCATAGGGCAGCAGATCAGGCCAATATTACCTTGGATTCTGAGACAACCGAGTCGACAACCGAAGGTGCAAGCCTCTAGAGGAGTCTGGGGCATGCCCCCCAGAAAATTTTGGATTTCGTGAAGCTCGCAAAAGCTATTTCCAGCATTTTGAGGATTTTTCCAACACGAAATTAACCTTATACTAGGTCTCCAGAAATCAAACCAGCTGATGTTCTGGGACTGGTCAAATCGATCCCTGCAACCAGGCTGTTTTGCAACATTTTTTCTCCAACCAAATACTGGGGCAGAATATTTTTCCCCAGTTTGTTAGTGCAGGCATTTTTTTGTTCAGAATAGCCTTGCAGGAAATGTTTTTTTCAAAATCACAACCCCCCCCCATCCCCCTCAAAAGTTAAATGGTCGGCCCCTAAGTAGAATAGAATAGAATACAATACCAAACATAAACTACTTGTAGCCTGCGGGAGCCTGCTCGGATACGTATGGCCATGGTCGTAGGAAGATCGATATTTTTGGGGGGCTCATATTCATATATTCATGTTCGCAGACCGTAAAAACAATCAAATTCAAAAGAAGTAAATGATGCAGATCACAAATATATGAATATGAGATCCTGCCCCCCCCCTCCCCAATTATCGATCTTTCTACGCCCATGGCCATGCAGACTGAAATATCGAAATTTACTACGTATGCGAGCAGGCTGCCCATAGCAAAGACCGGATAAGTAGTTTATGTTTGGTATTGTATTATATTCTACTTACTGGGGTTTCTTTCGCTTTAAAAGAGATTTCACTCCAGTTATAAAGTGAGGTCATCGGCGAAGGTAAAGTATTTCAATTTCCGAAAATCAAACGTAATTCAGGTGTAAAACGTTATATTCTTGACTTGCAACCAATCTCCTCCTGGTACACACCAGACAATGTTCAATGATAAAATCACAAAATAGACATGACATGGTATATTTATTCTGTGATAAAATATTCTTTTGCGCCATGCCACCTGACGTGGCGGGTGACATGCAAGTCAACAATAGAGAAAATGTAAAAATCAGTCCAGTCCAACTGTCCAGTCCAGTCCAACTGTCCAGTCCATGTTTTGTACTATGCCTAAATTTGGTATGAATTTCGATAAATATTGAATCATCCCCATGAAACGTTGGACATCTTTCTTGCTTGTAGGCTCTGGCATTCCATTGATCGCAGCAATTTTCTCAGCATCCAGTTGCAGACCTGTTTCTGTTAGTTGATAGCCAATGTACACAAGCTTCTTCATCTTGATCTTGCATTTCTCTTGGTGCAACTTTAGGTTGATTTTTGAGCTCTTTCGAGTACTTGCACCAATCTTCTATCCTGCTCATCATCATCTTTTTCCCAGACCAAAATATCATCGACTATGACTTCACAACCTTTGATATGTTAACCTGAGTATCAGGCCGTACTTTTTAGGGCACAGGCACGCCTGATCGTGGGCGAAGGGGAGAAAAGTACGGCCTGACACAAAAGTGGCATTTTGCCTGGTTGTTCAGTCCAGAATCTGGACTGAGCGCTGATTGGCCGATTAGACAAACGATTTTTAAATCTGTCATTTGATTGGCTGGTGCTAATTAGATTATACTATTGTTGTTGATATATTTTATAACGATCACAATTCACAACTACAATTATAGCCGGCCCACTAAACGGCTGAATTTAAATTAAAACTGCAGTAAAATTAGAAAATAATCGCAAATTAGCGAAATATATTGCAAATGTAGCTTATATTAAATCGCCATCAGATTGCACTATCGACTGACGTATAGTTATAAAGTATACTTTATAATTATACGTCAGTTTGTTGATAAATACGGCAAGCGCCATGTAAAGCTCATTGTAGTCACTGAAACCTCTGCGGAGGAGAGAGCAATCGGGTGGCGATTTAATATAAGCTACATTTGCAATATATTTCGCTAATTTGTGATTATTTTTGTTAATTTTATAAGTTCATTGCAGTTTTAATTCAAATTCAGCCGTTTAGTGGGCTGCCTATGCTATAATTAGATTGTTGTTGTCGTTGTGTGAAATTTAAATTTCTCCTGCGACATTTTGATTGGATACTAAATATAAACTTTGCTGTGGGCGGAAAGCGATCAGGTTAAGTCTTGTGTCAGGCTCTATTTGTAAAATAGAGCCTGATACTCAGGTTATTGATATCTCCAAACATTTCTTCCATAGTCCATTGGAAAACGTCCAGGGCTGAAGTAATCCTGAATGGCAGCTTGTTAAATTTGTAATGACTGAGCGGTGTATTGAAGCAGGTCAGGTTTGCAGATTCTTCATCTAACTGTATTTGCCAGAAACCACTAGCGCATCCAAAGTAGAGAAGACTGTTGCCCCAGACAACCTCAAAACAACTTCCTCTATGGTTTTCATTGGGTGATGCTCACGCTTTATCAATTGATTCAGATTAAACAGGTCAGTGCAAATCCTCAACTTGTTTGGTTTCACAACTTGTACCATAGAAGAGACCCATTCTGTTGGCTTTTTAACCAGGCTGACTATGCCAATACTGTCCATCCGGTCCAGTTCTGTTTAATTCTCTGTTGCAGTGTCGCTGGTACTCATCTTAGGGTGTGAATCACTGGTTTAGCATTCTTATCAATCTTGATGTGATGTAAACCAGGTAGACACCCAATCTCTGATGATGTGAAATCACTATATTTCTTCAGAAAATCGTTTTCTGTCTTGCAATTATTCTCCAACTCTTCTACTCGCTGAATTAGGTTAAGTAGTTCACAGTCTCTCAATACAAGTATGGCTTGTGTCAGACGATCTACCACGTAAAACCCCAACTGATAGCTTTTCGACTTGTAAACAGTGTGTACAAAAACTTCTCCAAGAACTTCTATTGTATCTCCACTATTGGCGATAAGTTTTGTGTTCGTTGGTGTAATCTTGTTATGTAACTTTAACAATTGTAAATAGTCTTGGGCAACATGTTACACTTAGTCCCCATATCTAAGTTTAATTTTACAGCTTTACTTTCTATCTCGAATTAGCTCTCTTTGAAGGCTCTGAATTCACAATTATTCACTTGCAATGGAAGTTCAGTTACAACGGCATTGATAGTCTACTGAACTTTGACTTTGTGTATTAAATACATGTCATTGATATGTAACACCCTCCTCCACAGAGTCTGAATTATATAGGATTTGTAGGGATAGTAGAGGATATTTAGTGGTGCGCGATGGGGTGAGATCGATGGTTGACAAAATATAACGAAGACTCTGCCATATAATGTGCGGTTCTCGGGTATGGCTAAAATAGAGCAAGAAAGCGACTCGGAAAGCAGCGATCTGGACATCTTAGAAGTTCCCCATCACAATTTAAGTATCGAGGGTAAGTTGAATGAATTTTATACAATATTTATGTCTCATTTGATGGAATGTTTTACATATTTGTAGACGCCATAGTATCACAGGCTTTGTTATTGTTTTAATCTCTCCCAAAATCAACAAATAACGTTTAAAATAAAATACCTTGTTTGGGTACATTGCCAGTAAGAATTATATAAAAGCAGCAAGGATTCACCAAGGATGTTTTAAATATACGACGGATTACAAAAAAACGTTTGGTTGTAGTCGGCTTACAAAATGGCCGCCAGTCTACAGACCTGCCAAGACTCACAATTTTTTATGCTTCTCACGATGAAGTCCCCAAATCTCTCGATTTTCGGCAAAATCTCTGCTAAAATCATAAGTGATTCCAAACACCCGTGGAAAAAAGAAATATGCTATTATTTCGTGAGACTTGGCACTGGAAGCTACTGAAGCCATAAGAAAAAACAGCCTATTTTTAATATCAGCCTTGCATTACAGTTATATTAACAAAATATAAATGCATACTATCCCCAAGATTGATTATCTATTGATTATTTTCTAGTGTTGTTAAAGTTAACCCTGTCCCTGGTCATATTATTAATGAGCAAACCTGAAAATTTCAGTCGATTTTCAGTTTCAGACTTTTTAGATAGCAACTCACTATTTCTGCTATTCAAGGGTTGGCAGGTCTGATTTAGATTGAAGATTCTAAACAGTGTATCTATATTAAATACTTTATATCTAGATGAAGAAGCATGTTATCCGATGCCAATGGCAAGTACGCCCAAAAAGGGTGACAAAAATGGGCATGCTGTGAAGCATGCTCTTACACCAGTGTCCAAACAACAAAGTGAACCTGATCCAAAAAGGCTCCACACATCAACAGTTGATACAGTCACAGGTACGTTTTTAGTTAATACTTATTTTCAGCCACTCTGAACGTACAGGGTCATTCCATTTAATGTAAACACCCCCCTATGGACGAGGTCAATAAAATTTGAACCCCTAAGAAAAAAAGATCAAAGTGCCAACACAAACACCCCCCAAGAAATTAAGAAATTTTTGCCTTACCCCTCAGAAAAAACGCATAGATCACACAACCCCTCAGAAACCCAACGATGCACACAACCCCTCAGTAACCGCGTTTTTCGAACCCCCTCAGAAATTCTCGTCCATAGGGGTGTGTGTATATTAAATGGAATGGCTCACATACATTTGTCGTGACATGTCTAATCTGGATGTAAAATATCTACAATCTGCACACAGTGGCGGAAATTCACTTTTTTGGGGGGGGGGGGGGGGG